TTAAAGTCTTCATTAATGACCTGGACAATGGGACAGAGTGTACCCTCAGCAAGTTTGCTGATGATAAAAAACTGGGAGGCGTGCCTGGTACACCAGATGGGTGTGTTGCCATTCAGAGGGACCTGGACAGGCTAGAGAAATGGGACAACAGGAGTCCCTTGAAGTTCAACGAAGGCAAATGCAAAAGTCCTACAACTGGGAAGCAATAATCCTACACACCAGTCTGGGCTGGGGGCTGACCGTCTGGAAAGCAGCTTTGTGGAGAAGGACCTGGGATCCTGGTCCCAAGAACACCACTTGAAACATAAGCCAGCAGTGTGTATAAATACCTGATGGGATCAGGGGCAGGGAGTAAAAAAAGACAGAGCCAGAGACTCTTTTCAGTGGTTCCCAGTGACAGGACAAGACACAACAGGCACAAACTGAAATACAGGAGATTGGACTTAAATACAAGAAAAAACTTCTTTACTCTTTTTTACTCTGAGGGTGATCAAACACTAGGATGGGTTCCCCAGCAAAAGGTTGTGAAGATATTCAAAACTCAACTGAAAAAGATACTGAACATTCTGCTCTAGCTGAATCTGCTCTGACCTGTAGGGGTGGCCTTGTCAATCTGTAGATGTCCCTTTTGAGGTCCCTTCACAGAACCTCAAAAATTCTGTGATCCTGTCGTATATTATGGCTGCCAAATTCCAACATGTCTTCCTGAACCTCTCCATTTCATGCCAGCTTCCTTTCTTCCTCCTTCAAAGTTTACCCTGACTTATCACATCATTTCTGATTTCTTTCTCCTTCCTACCTTCCGGTTTTATGCCCAAGACCTTGCCAGACTGACTGCTCTCTCCCACTCCACCTGCTCTCCATTTCAGAATTATCTCAGCTGGACTGAAATTGTTATTTCAGGAGTGAGTTTCATCTGCTGACCAGAAATATCCTACCACTTCTTAGATAAAAAGGAAAAAAAAAAAAAAAAAGGGCTGGAAAGGGGTAGCGCAACTAAAATTTTCCCACAGAGAAGAATTTTCATATGTGCTAGTGAAAGAAAAAGAAGAGAACTTATGCTTTCTCCCATGCTGTTACCCACACATACGTTCAGTATCTGAAAAAAAACCCCTCCTCCTTTTCCTTCTAATCCATCCTTCAGTGTTTTCATTTCTTGTGATGCCTTTATCACTTGAACATGTTTATGCTACTGCTCTTTTAAAACTCCTGCCTATTACATTAACAGTGTCTATCTCCCTAAGTTCTCTCTCATCTTATGTGTAGGCTGTAAGCTCTTTAGGACAGGCACCAGTATTTTGTTCTCTGACAGCACGGGGGTCTCTTAGCTGTTAAGACTGTACTAATGATAGATGATCTTGTCTGTGCCTTGGCCCAGATACACACTTTTTCTGTTCATCGCATTTTTGTCTGTTTTTAAGAGCTGTTCATTGCATTTCAGGACATAGGATTTAAGAAATAGTGTCTAACATTCAAAAGCAACAGTAAAGACTTTGCCATAGTGATGGCTCCCAATGACATGTTTTCCTCCCTTGGAAAGGTCTATTCCTTCTTCTCTGTTGATAACAAATGACCTAACTCATGCTGAATTCTCTGCTGAATAAATAAATAAATAAAACCAGCCCAAATCTTCAAGACCTAATTTGTGATAAAGTGGTCATGGAGAGTCCTTTTTAACTTTGAATAGCTTTGGAAAAGATCAATATTTAGACATATGCAACAACTACAGGGATATCATTTTACATGGATATAATCTAGGACACTCACTCTAGAGTAGAAAAATCCAAGTGTGGGATAATGACTTTACTGGACAGGACATATAGTTAGGATGATAGAACACAGCCTATCTAAAGATATTCTGAAAGGTGTTCCAAAGTATCTGTCCTTACAGCCAAAGTGAAGGTGTGAAGCATCTTTATAAGGAAAATATACCTTGGCAGAAAGGAGGGGCAATTTGTAAAGCTACCAAGGATATTTAATAACTTTATGTCAGGGAATATGTATGCATGTATATTAACATATGGTGAAAATATGAATTTTTATTGTCACCCCTGAATTGGAGAATCAAGAAGTACTGAAATCTGGCTTGTATACTACCATAAAGTGGGCTTGTCTTTGGAAGGGTCACGCTTTCTGTTTTTCTGTCCTGAGTGACTATGGGTATCACATAATAAATGATAAATACAGATGAAAGAAGGATGTTAAATAATAGAACTGGTAACAAAGTTCCCACGTGTTGAGAACGGCATTGTCCATTATGTGACTGCCAACATAATTCCATGAAATATCATGATATTTCATTCCCCCAAAGATTTCTCAAGTTCAAGCCTTCTAATAATTCTAAAATTTTGTTTAAAGGGGTAAAAAAACCCCAGTGACTTTCACAGAATGAGAAAAATGACCCCATATTTTATGTTTTCTCCTTAATACATAGTTTAATCACCAAGAATCATTTATGAAAGGTTTTAAGGAGTCCGCTTACATTGTGGGTTGCACAGTCTCCATTATTTATTGCAATAACACATGCTGGCACCATGTCTAACAAAATAGTTCCAGAATAAGCAACATAACAAATTGCTGCTTTAGCTCTTGAATCAGTTTGTACACTGTGTGGTCTTTTTCATAATCTTCATTGCATAGCACTGCAGATTTCCTGATGACATTTTGTTTGCTGGAGCTGCTAAGGGTACACAGAACCAGTGAACTGAAGTTCTGAGCAATGTGCTGTGACTGACATGTAATTCACCATTTAACCACTGCTATACGTGATATATTGGAGGTGATATGAACATGACCCTATCCTCAGTGTATTTGGGATCAAGTATTAATCTTCAGCAGAGCACTTTAAAATAGTGTAGAAAAAGCTTTTGTTCCGAATGATCACAAGTGCAGGGACTTAGTAACAGAACTTATTTGTAGTTATGAAAGATTAATTAATGATTTATATTCATTAGTACAACTATTCCCTCAGAACTGCTTGATTCTACAAAGGATAATTTACACCAAGCATGACTGGCATTCTACTGCCAGTCACATCAATGCTGAGCTGTAATAACTGCATTTGGACAGAACTGGCCCCCTTTCTGTGAATGCCACCGGTTGAATAGGGCTTTTGCCAGCAGTTGAATATGGCTCTCAGTATTTTGTGAAATTGTCAGATTTTGGGCTGTTTGTCAATCAACATCAATATGTGTCTTTTAGAATGTCATTAAGGTCAGTACTTCTAACATAGAATACATTATATGTATAATACATATGTATATACATATATGTATACACACGTTCTATGAAATTGATCCAGGAAGTCACAAACAATGTGTAATGCTGTCGAAACTCCTGCATAGGGCATTGCTTTTGTGTCCAACTAGATTTCTGATGTTTTCTTACTTATGCTGATATAAAAATTGATTTGTACTATTGACCTTGGATACAAGACAGTTCATATATCTTGTCAGGGATCTAATTCAAAGCCTGATGGAAAGACTCAGACTGGTTTTAAGGCACCTTGGAAAATCCTTCAAACTTACACAGCATAACATAAAAGCTTTTGAATAATACATCTTAAAGCTTAAAAAGATCTCTCTTTCCTTCAGTTATTTTCTCCAACCACTAG